AAGAGACATCATATTAAAGAGGAACCAGCATTTTATGTGTAGTCCTTCAAGCCCTTTTGACTTCATATTTCAAAAGAACAGCAAGTAATATATGAACAGGGACAACCTTGAATCTTGTGAAAATCAGAGAAAATGTGGCGACCAAGAGATTGCTCAGTACGTTACAGAGATTCACCAAATCTGAAGAAATCGTTAACTGATGATTTTGTGTACTGCATGCAGGGTGAATTCCAACTGGTTTGAAAAAACACTGGGATGGTTGGTGATTTACCATATTTTGCTTTCCAACCAGTAGTGGTTTCAGACTCTTGACAACAGATGGTTTGGGTGAACGTTTTGAAGAAAGGGCTCCATAGAAACTCACAGCATGGAATATGCTACCTGAGAAGTGAGGAACCAGGGTGCCAGGATGATGTCCTAGACACTGCAGTCTCTTAAAAACTATTTCCTAAGGAAAGGATGTCGACGTTTACATCCGGTCCATAGGCAATAGCTCATTTGTCCTAAAGCTGAGTGAAGGCTCTTATTTAGCTTCAAGGAAGTCATTTTGATCTTGAGTAAAGAATTGTTTCTTTGTACATCCAATCCATTCTCCCATCTACAACTGTAACTCTGCTGGTGAATGACCATGAGCTATTAATCCATGATGTGGGAATAGAGAACAAGCGTAATGTTAGAGGTGGCCCCAGATTACACCTACCGAAGGAACACCACTGAGCCTTCATCCCTTTAACCAAAGGCATGGGCACTATCACTAAACCTAAGAATGTTCGACAATTGTCTGGGGCTGTGTTGGATGGGTAGGGAAGACAAGGCACTGTGTTCCTTCAGCCACATCTTAACTGCACTGCATTTGACTGACTACTCATGTTGACAGAACTGCATTGAACACGTCTCTTGGCATCAATTTGAACTTATTAAATGGCTCTTCATCTTATCTGTTTTCAACCATTCACTCATCAGCACACTAGAAAGGAGGCTGGCTTATTTGTTTTTCCTGTCAGTCACCAAAAGGAGCTGGAAGCTTTGATAAGGGCCTCAATGTGGAAGACCACATAGATTTGAGTTAAGCTGTGGAGAAAGAAGTGGTCTGCCTCGGGTCTTAGAAGGACAGTGCCAGTACCATTCAAGCCACTGGGTAGTGTTTCCCAAATGCTGCCTGGGGGCTGTAGCTATGTGGACAAGGCATAAAGAGAATTCATTGACCACCAGAACTAATTTTCTTAGTTGCTTTCAATCCCTGTTGACCCCGTCATCCACTGTTAGATTATTTTTTGGCAGAAAGAAAACTGAAGCACCAGTGATAGCCATCTTGTGACTGTGACCAATTGCCTACTGAACAGTTCTTAATGTCCCAAGCCTCAGCAGGAAACCTCTGAATCTATAAAGTCCTGTCCAGCAGAAATAAGTCTGAGTGCGGATGGTTTGGTTAGCCCAGATTGCCTTCAGTGCCTGAGGGGGTTGATATTTTCTCATTATGAAGACTTTCCCATCTAGTGAACACCACAAATAAAACTGCTTGGAATCAGTCTGAACTGCCTGTTTCCGTGGTAGCAAGCCTCTAGCTGGAGGATAAATGTACACCATCTTCTTTTCTTTGGGAGTGGGGTGGGAGGTGGACAAATATGGGGTCAGCCCCAGTTCTGTTACAAGGAGCTCTGAATGCTCAATAAGTGACACCTAGTGGGATGGGCTCTGTCAGTCGGAGAGGGAAGCTTTGTCACCAATGGGACTTGTACCCTCGGCCAGACAGCAGTATCCAAGAAAAAGAAATCAAAGACATACAGAGTCTACATGCCTACATATTTATTTCGGTTGTTGGTATTTCCTACACTTTTCAAATATGAACTTGTGTCCTGAAGGTGGAGCTTTAGTACACAGGAAGATTGGAAAGGGGCAAACGTGCTTGTACAAAATGGGGCAGAATCAGGAAAGAAACATTTATATGCCTCCTAGTCTCCCACATTTTTCATGCCAAAAAGTAGGCACAGATTTGGATTTCTTTCATGGTAGGAGCCTGCATACAATTAAATGGGAGGGGAAAGAAGCCTGCTCTCGAGAGTGGAGCTTATGGTCCCAGTAGAATGGCGAGAAACTGTAGCCATCAAAGCCATTTATACTTCTTGCTGGTAGTATTTTTAAGATGTTTCTTTTTCACAACAAGGCAGCAATGAATTGAGTAGTGATCAAAATGCCGCACGATAGAGCATATTTAATCCAAATAGCTTCCAAGATGGTCTGCTACTGATTGTAACAACTCTACAGGATTTAGAGAAATTACTTGGTTACCAGTGAAGTACAACTATCTCTGCAATGGAATTGAACTGTTCCTTCTCAGCACATAAGAACACTGCCACAGCCGGTTTATGGCGGCCATGAGGATCAGGGTGTTCTTCATCACTCCCAGGGAAACTTTCAAAATGCTAGCACATAAATCTACTATGCCATGAGGGGTTCTATGAGCTCCTGCAGATGTTTTCTAGGTATTACTTTTTCCATTTCCAGCAGTGCAAAAATTCTTAAAACATTTCCGATGGGCAGCGAATGGGGTGCAAGGCCTGGTTATTCTGGAGCAGAGAGAGCACCTGATTTGCCTTGCCCAGGGTCTGAGTAACACCGAGCCTGCACCTCAGGCCTTTCCCCTCCCTCCTCCACCTTCCTCCCTGGCACCCCAACCACTGTCACTACAGCAGAAGGGGCAAGCTTGTGCCTCATGTGAAAGCATTTGCTGCCTGCTGGAGGCAAAGACCATGTTATCCAATTTCAAAGAAGGAAATTATGAATGGAAAGATGACCCCCCTGCGTTCTGAATGTGAGAGTCACCGAGGGAAAGATAGGATCCTGTAACGGCATAGCCAGGGCAAAAACTCATGTTTCTCTTCTGCTTCTTGCTTCAGCTCACCCTGCTTTCCTCAAGCCTCCCTGAGTTCCTCATCCTGCCGTATCCCTGAGCCCTGGGGAGAACCTGAAGCACTGTTGCAGAAATTTAAACCAGGAATAGCTGCTCCTTTAGGAGGGCTCAGCTTCTGTAGGAAGTCCACTCACCCCATCCCATCCTCTCCCCCTCAAAAAAACAGATTCTATCTAGAGCCGGGGAACTGGGATGGGAAGGAAGACAGGGGTGAAACCGATTACCCTGCCTGGGGCCTAGAAATAGCCTGGGACAGAGATCATTTTCCAAAGATATATCGGGGTCCTCAGAATCCCCCAGTGTCCCTTGGATCACCTGCCAGACTCTAAGGGTGCTGGTGGTGCTACCAGTTGTAGCTCAGGCCGCTGGGAAGCATCTGTGCATCCTCTAGGACTCCCCCTTCAGAGAAATCATGTACCTTCACCCAGAAGAGGTGGTCGTTCAGGTGTGCAGTGATTCAGGAATACAGGGTGGGGCAAAAGTAGGCTTACAGTTGTGAGTACACCAAACACAGTTTATTCTTGCATTTATTAATTTTGGTATCAGTTTCCATACAAACACCTACTTTTGCCCCACCCAGTATACCGTACTTTAGAAATTCTTGGTGGTTTGGGGGGTAACCAGCTGCTGTTTGCTCCCTACGGGAGCTGGTGAGACCTCAGAGGGTCCAAAGGAAAGAAGTGGGAAAAGGATGAGAGAGAGGGCAGGTGTCTAGGGAAATAAGGGTACCTGTTCTAGAATTAGAAGGCTGGACACTTAACTTGGGGAACTTTTCAGTTATACCTGATGAAAATGATGTCTGGGTAGTATTGTAACCGCCACAGGTGGCACTTGTCTAGAGCTGAAAGTGTAAGTGGTCCTGGAGCTGGATAGGGATTCGAAATCTCCGCCGTTTACCGAGCAATAGGAATCCCCCCTCCCCAGCAAGTCCCATAAGCTCTCCATGATCATTCTCCTTACTACTAAATGAGGATAATAGTCACAAATTAATAGGGTTGTTATGGGTATTAAATGAGTCTTAATCCATGTAGTGAATTTAGAACAGCACCCAGTACATAGTAAGTGTTCAATAAATGTTAGGCATGATATTAGGTCAGATGGTGAGTAGAACTTTCAAAGTGCTAGGTTTGAGAGTCTGGGACTCCGTTGCCAAGGGAGATTGGAGAACCCTTTCAAATATGGGAGCTCCAGCCCCGGAGACTGTCCAGAACCAGTGTTTTGGCGCCTGTCTTCCTCCCCCCACCCCCTCACTCCTCTGACAGGGGAAATCTAACCCCCGACAGGGGCGCCTCGATCCCCTGAGCCTCCAGCTCGTCCACGTCTCCCGCACGCCTTCCGGGGTCTCCCTCCCGCCGCTCCACACCTGTCAGTCGTCGTCGCAGCCTCCCCTTGGCCCAAGCTCCGGACCTCAGCTGCAACACCCTGGCGCCCGGGGTCCTCGCTCCCTGTGCCCTGCGTATCCATCCCTGCCCGCTGTTCTCGTAAACAAAACCCAAGCGTTGGAGCAGCCCCGCGGGCGGACGCGCGCGGGAACCCGCTCGGTGCACTGTTAGCGCGCCCTGGGAGCCCCGGGCGAGCCAAGGGGCGATGGTGGCGGCCGTGGCGGCAGCGGCAGGCGGTTCAGCTTTGTTTTGAATAGATGAAAGAGGCCACCTACATAGTAACCCAAATTATGAACCCTCCCTCCTCTCTATCTCACCGAATCAAGAGGGGAGGGGAGATGGGCGTGGAGGGAGGGCGGGCGGGCAGGAGGCGGAGGAGGAAGAGGGTGAGGAAGGGGGCCAGTTGCATCCCACTTTCACAATGGGAAAGTGAAACGCACAAGCGCACCCAACCTCTCCAGCCCTCCCGCCTGCCTCGCTCTCCCTCCTCCCACTCCGCGCCTCCCAGCGAGCGCCAGCGCTGCACAGAGGAACTCTCCGGAGAAGGAGGGCGAGGAGGAAGCGGCGCCGGAGCGCGCAGGGCTTGCCACCGCCGCCGCCGCCGCTGCCGTTGCACAGGCTGCCGGAGCGAGCCCGCCGCGCGCCAGCCCTCCCTGCTCTACTTCCCAGGCGAGCAGCGGGGATGGGGCGGCCGCGGGAGCCCGAGCGCGCGCAGGAGCCGCCGCCGCCCGCGTCTCCGTTGCCGCGCGCCTGAGCCGCCGTCGTCACCTCGCGCCCTGCTCGGGGGCACCCCCCCATCCCCATGGAGGTCTCCCAAAGGAAGGCACCGCCGCGCCCCCCGCGTCCCCCGCGCCCCTCACGCCCCGCCGCGCCGCTGCCCCTGCTCGCCTATCTGCTGGCTCTAGCGACGCCCGGCCAGGGCGCGGACGAGCCCGTGTGGCGGTCGGAGCAAGCCATCGGAGCCATTGCGGTGAGCCGGGAGGACGGAGTGTTCGTGGCGAGCGGCAGCTGCCTGGACCAGTTGGACTACAGCCTGGAGCATAGCCTCTCACGTCTGTACCGGGACCAAGCGGGCAACTGCACAGAGCCCATCTCGCTGGCGCCCCCCGCGCGGCCCCGGCCCGGGAGCAGCTTCAGCAAGCTGCTGCTGCCCTACCGCGAGGGGGCGACCGGCCCCGGGGGGCTGCTGCTCACCGGCTGGACCTTCGACCGAGGCGCCTGCGAGGTTCGGCCCCTGGGCAACCTGAGCCTCAGCTCCCTGCGCAACGGCACCGAGGTGGTGTCTTGTCACCCGCAGGGCTCGACGGCCGGCGTGGTTTACCGTGCGGGCAAAGAGAAACGTTGGTACCTAGCTGTGGCCGCCACCTACGTGCTACCAGAGACTGAGACGGCGAGCCGCTGCAACCCGGCAGCGTCCGACCGCGACACTGCCATCGCGATCAAGGACACGGAGGGGCGCCGCAGCCTGGCCACGGAGGAGCTGGGCCGCCTCAGGCTTCGCGGAGGGGGTGCGGGTAGCCTGCACTTCGTGGACGCCTTTCTCTGGAACGCCAGCGTCTACTTTCCCTACTATCCCTACAACTACACGAGCGGCGATGCCACGGGCTGGCCCAGCATGGCGCGCATCGCGCAGAGCGCCGAGGTGCAGTTCCAGGGCCAGGCAGCCCTCGACTGCGGCCACGGGCACCCCCACGGCCGCCGCCTGCTCCTCTCCTCCAGCCTGGTGGAGGCCCTGGACATCTGGGCGGGCGTGTTCAGCGCGGCCACCGGGGAGGGCCAGCAGAAGCGCTCGCCCGCCACCACGGCACTCTGCCTCTTCAGGATGAGTGAGATCCAGGTGCGCGCCAAGAGCTGCAAGTGGGACTTCGAGCCCAACGAACAGAACTGCGTAAGTCCTGCTCCCGGATGCTGCCGGGAGCGTTCCCACTGGGGTGCCGCCGCCGAGGCAGAGCGGAAGGGAGACCGGGTTGGCATCGCCAGGTCCCGGGATTCACAGCCCGGGGGCCGCCCGACGGCCGTTCTAACACGGTCTGCGAGGCCTCGGAGATTCTAAAGTAGGGCCCAAGGTCCCCAAAAGCAGTGCAAAAAGGAGGTGGAGAGGGTAGGAGTTAGGCTCAAAACTCTCGTGACTGCATCCCAATGCCATCATTCTCTGCCTAAACGTAGACGTTTGTTTGGGGCTGAGCCTCCCCAAGCAGCCCCACCCCTCCCTTCCCTAATCGCTAACCTAGGTGTGTGGTTTTAGCAAGCATGTGGCTTTGACCCCTTTCCTCAACATGGTAACCAAACATAGTGCCCTCAGCAGAGAAGCCACTGAACCTAAAGGACTTGCCGCCACACCCCGGGCTTTGTGTCCCCCACCACGGTCACACACGTGACATGGTCTGAAGAGTTGGTAGCCTGATGAACGCGGGGCAGAGACAGCCTGGAAGAGAGGCTCCCGTTTAGCCGAACAGAACCCTGGGCGCGACAGGGTGCAAGGGGGCGGGGCTGTGGTTCGGCTGAGGGTGTGCTGTGGTCTCCAGGTGGAGAGAGAGACTGGGAAGGCAGAGGAGGTTTTGTGGGTAAAAGCCTCTCCCTAGAAGGGAGAGCAAGAGAAAGCGTGGGGTGCTACAGGCAGTTTCTGGGCTCCAGGTTGCCTGACTAAATCGTGGGGTTCAGAGGCACCACCCTTCTGTTCTACCCAACCGGGCAAACAGCACAAGCTTCCCTTGGGTTCCCAGGGCAGCCACAGCGACACTCTTGAAACTGGCATTTCTTTGACTGGAAAATAAAGCAGCGGTTCAAGAGGGTCCAGTTGATGGGGATTATGGAGCCATTGTGCACTTCTCAGAGGCTGTTTTCCTTCCAAGGCTGCTGGCACATCAACTCCACATATGGCTCCTGAGAGGGGAGCCTGCTGAGAGCCTCCTTTATAACTGGACAGAAATCAAAGAGCAGAAATTAATGGCTACAGGTGTTGCCATTGTTTTGGTATAAAATGTGTCAGAGAGGTAGGGGAGAAGTCTCCACTTGGAAAATGTGTTGGTACAATTGGTGTAAGCATACAGGGGAGCATTGGCCCTCTGGTATATTAATATGTGTATAAAAGACACTCCCAGCCTCACCCACCCCTTTCTCTGCAAAACCCATCTTACCAAATATTAGCCCTATTATTCAGGGGGGAAAAAACCCGAGGTCCTTTGTAAGGGCCCTTAGAATGGTCATTTGCTTCTTCCTCCTTGCTTATCACTTGTGCGCTGACACACACACGTAATGCCTTCGTTTAGTTACTGGTATAATTGTTTTTAAAGCATAAACGGCACATAATGTATCATAAAGGACTTCATCTTGCTATACACATATAATTTAATATTTAATATGTCCTTATTAGATCTTTATAATGTAATAGTTCAAGTTGGGCAAAAATTATTGCCTTTTACTCCTCTGTTGAAAGACTTGAAAATACCACCAAATATTACTTTGTGTTTAGCTTTAGGCAGACTTGGTCTCTGGGGTTAACGACAAGACAGCTCGGAGGCCCCCAGCAGGTAATAACGGGAAGTCCAAGCTTTGCCATCTGACAGCTGTGTAGATGTGTGGAGCCAAAATATTTCTCTTGACTGCGTCTCTCTACCCATTGGGTCCTGGAGGACTTAGTTTCCTTCCAAACTCAGCAGGCCTCTTGAATGCGCTCAGAATCCACATTTTGGCTCGATGAGGTGTTCCTACTTGTGCTGGGATGAGGAGGGGAAGGGGCAGTGGGAGAGCTGTTTATCATCTTCAGAGAGCTTCTGGGAGAGAGCTGCCCCTTGGACATCAAGCAAGGGATAAACATATGCTGCCAAAAATCTGGAATTGGAAAAAATAATTAAAAGAGGTCCCCCCCACAGCATCTCTTGCTGCTGTTATTTATTGAGAACTCCCAGTGTGCTCAGAGCTATGTGTTCTGAAAGACACGGTCTCTACCCCCTGAGCTTGTCATCCAAGTTAAATAATATACTCTGGTTCAAACAATAGCATGTCATGGCTACACAGGTGGGAGCTTGGAGTTTTGCTTTTTGTTTTTTTCTTCCTTCATTTAAGTAAATGTCTTGCTGCTAGTATGCACTAAAAAGCCTTAATAGAATTGAATTTCAAGAGGGATTTGAGTGGAAAAAAAGTGTGATAGTTTTGATGAAAAAGCTGACAATTTCTAACCTAGTAAACAAGCAGATAAGATACTTCATTCAACAAACATTTGTCTGATGCCTGCTAGTGTAAGCCATGCTCTATGGTGGATGCCACTGATTTTGCCAATGAAAGGACAATGGCAAGTTGCAACCCCATTTAATGGGGTCATGGCATCTGCTTGTCATGAAGAACAATGATGCCATTTGAATGGCATTTGTTCTGCATTCTCAGGTTTGAATGTGTTTTGGAAAAGGCATGCTGAATTATAGGTGCCTGTAAGAGGAGACAGACTTGAAACACTCTAGAGGGAGCCTCAATAGATTCCAACAGCAGTTCCTTAAGAACCGTCATTTGAACAGCACGCCACAGGCACTGAGGCACAAGTGCCTCGATTTGCTTGCCTTCTCCCTCTCCTGCTAGATGGCTCGCTCTGATTTTCCATCTTTTATCAACCATGGGTAGCAAAGTGACAGGAGTGACTGGGTTGTGTTTTCTCATTTCTTGATTTTCTTCTTATCACATGTGGCTGGTTGTCTTCCCCTTTGGCCTCGCCTGCTAGAAATCGTTTGCGGAATGCTTGGGTAACGGTGGTGTACTCCTCAGCCTTTTACACACTGGGCCATTACTTTTTTCTGCCTTGCCACCAACTTTGAACCCCCTTTCACAACTCCATCAGGTTAGCTTCAGCCTGTGAACATGCCAAGGCAGCTGATTTCTGTAGACCTTAACAATAATAACAGTCCTATAACAATTATAATCATCTAATAATCCTAAGAAATGTATGCACAGCACTTTGCCATATATTATTTCTTTTGAGCTGCCCATCAAGTCTAAGGCCGAGTCTGTGAGGAGCAGTCCCATTTACCTGATGAGGAAGCTCAGAAGAAGAGAACAGCAGGTGTCGGGCCCCCCCCAGCTTAAACCCAGGTCCTGCAATGGCTACTTGTGCATTTTTTCCCACCACTGTGGCACTTCTCAAACCTCCCCTTGAAAGTCCCTTCATTTAAAAGACAGCAGCCAGCCTCCCCTAAAGTATGGTGTTGAGATTGTAGAGTGTTCCTTGAAGTGTGTATTAAAAGTTCATGTGATTTTTTTCATTCTATTTCATAACATATCTGTTTGTTTAGGTTAATATTTTTAAATGAATGATTTAAATTATGTACAAGTTAATTAATTTAACTCCCTCCCTCTCTGAACTCCAGCTACTCCTGGCACACCAATGCATTTGTAGAAAGTGTTTATACCTGAGTTTTGATGTCGGATTGTTCCAGATTTGTTTGGTTGCCTTAGTTGGGTCCTGAGGTTGCTTGTGGTTTAAACATCATGACTATCCTCTCTGTAGACACTGAGAGTGTTATGTTTTCTTATCCTACTGGCCAACAGGACTGGCTCTTCTAGTTCATTCTACCCCTTGTGGGGAGACGTAACCCCTTCTTCCACACTCACATAATTCCACATAAGCTGACATAATTTAACTCATGCAGACAACCACAGAACGCTCACATGTTCTCTGACAGATAGTAACCCAAGACACTTCTAGCCACTGTGTGCAGAAGTGATTTCCCGGGGTCACTTGGCAGTGCAGCCTTCTTGACCTCAAAATCCACAGTCTTCCCGTCATGTTTATTCCTCCTTTAGTTTCTGTTATGATCATGTCTAGCCACTTTGTAATCTATAGACTAGATGGTGACTTTTACCCTCATATATATATCTGATATGCAGGAGTGGATTTTAAAAGCCCAAAACCCATTTAGAGGGGAAAAAGCAATCATCGCTGCTCTCTACTGGATAGCTATCATAGCCAGGCTTTGTGTTAAGCACTTTGCAGACCTAATTTTTGTGTGATTCTCACAGTCATCCAATGAGGCAAGGACTGCAGTTATTATGATTTTGTACATGAGAAAAGTGAGGCCTGGAGAGGTTTAATAGGTTCCACAGCTGGTAAATGGCAGAGGTTTTAGAATCTGGGTGGTTCAGCCAGAGGACCTGAGCTCTTAAACACTGTCACGAACAGTCCAGCAGCACCGATATTGGGTTCTGGTGTCAATTCTCTCTGGTGTAGATACGATCAGCGGTTTGTGGACCTAGGATAGAACAGATAATCCTTGACTGGGACCTGAGTTTCTAGTTCTGCATATTTGACCACCTAAAGTTCACACTCTGGGAGTGTTGTAGTTCCTAAGCTGCCAACTTCCAGAGAGTGTTGGCATTCTTTCTGTTCAGGTTTATATTATGTTGGCCAAAAAGTCTGTTTCTTATTTTCCATAAAAGACATATTTTTTCATTTTCACCAACAACTGTATTGATTTGGATATTTTGAGTATGTCAGGTATTTCCTGCTATTGGCTTCTAGTGGGTAGAGGCCAGGGGTGCTGCTAAACATCTCCCAGTACATAGGACAGGCCCACAGCAAAGAATTATTTAGCCAAAACTTCAATAGTACCAAGAAACTTCACAAACCACTTTTGACACACTCGATCAATCATTGCACCTTCTCCATACACTGCACAAGTCCTTTTTTTGCGTTTCAATTGCATTTTTATCTTTCCTGAAATAATAAAGCATAACACATCAAAAATATTGCGTATCTTTTTCCATCTTCAATATTAAAATGGCTACACAAAAATTCACCAATTTTGATGTTTTTTTAAAAATGCATGCTGATAGGACAGCTGTCACAATACAATGTACAAAAATTGTTTCAAATGAAGTTGAAGACAATTAAGCACTTCTAGA